GGGGGGGGGGGGGGGGGGTCCAGGTTGTTCAAAGTATGGATAGTACTGGCCAACAAATAAATGACAGATATCAATTTATCAAATGGACAGAATTATGCATGTATTATGTCTGAACTGCTGAATACTTTGTACATTGTTTTCACTGCTTGTTTTGAGCATCTAAACAGGAGTGAGATATTCTTTAACCAAGCAAACTCTTTCTCATTTTGTAGCGACAGCTCTTGGTTTCTTCAGTGGTGTGCCACAGCCCTGCATCAGAGCAGAAATGTCCATATTGGTCGACAAAGAAGAACAAGGTATTACCACTTGTCAGTTTGCCCTTTTCAATACTTTTTTTCAAATACACTGTAAGTTACAAGTGCCAGAGGGCAGTCCCTCCATTGTGGCAGCAAAACGCCAACCTCTATGACACCAAGCGTTGGTGTTTTGCATTCTAAATTGGCATGAACAGTTAGTAATAATTCTTTTCTTCGTTACATTATTTTATTATTTGTATGTACAATATTTTTCTGGCACTGTTTCACTTGTACTTTTGTTGTTCTTTTAGGTGCTCTTTTTGCCATCCTAGCATCTGCTGAAAGTTTGTGCAACTTTTGCAGTCAATTGATTTTCAATCCACTGTACACTTGGACTATAAATGAACTCAAGGGAAAATTTGCTGCTGGTATAACCTTTTTCATCAATGCTGGGATTTTGCTAATTCCTATGGTTCTTATTGGGTGAGTAAATATTAGAGAAGGCTGGGTCTGCCCCAGTTCTAAGGAGTAGAAGAGCCACAAGGCTTCTCATCTGTTTGAGATGTTTCTAAGAATGATTCAGGACTTGGAGTATTGGTACTCTTCATGGATGGAATACCAGCCAACTACACATCGTAAAGCAGTCATTGTGCAGTGCACTGTAGCAATGCCTGCATTTGTCAATAACATTGCTACTTTGCTTCTCTTCTGAATCTACACCCAGTATCGGCAGTACAGTACATGTACTGCATGTACTACTTGCAATGTGCAGGGCCAATTTGAAATATTATGAGCCTGATTATCCATGAACAATGACGATGTATCTGTTCTTTGTTATTGAGTCCTTGTGCTTGAAAACTCGGTCTATTCAGTGAGTTTTACAGGCACAAACAGCAACACATTTGGCACCTACTCTACATGTACTCCATTAAATAAGATACAGAGAACCAATTTAGTGGTCAGAAATAAAGAACTCAAGGTTGTTTTCTGTTTTTTTTTTTGTTTGTTTGTTTGTTTGTTTGTTTGTTTGTTTGTTTGTTTTGGTGAAGTTTGTGACTTAGCAATTACGTTATTCATACCAGAGGTTTTCTGTAAATTTTGAAAGGTTGATAACTGCTCAAGTTTACTATTAAGCTAATTTATCTTTTTCCTCTTGTTTCAGGATTATTCAGAGGTTTAAACCTTCAAAACCTAAGGAATGTCCAACTCTTATTGACAACGAAGACCCAGTTTCATAAAGATGACATTAGCAAATGATGTCCTTGTATATATGCACTCGCACTTCGGAGCAGTTTATACCAATTGTACATATTGCAATTTGTCGGTCTCAAAATTCATTCTAGGCATGACAAGAAAAATTATTTTAATTTAAGGCTCGTGAAGTACATACATGCGTAAACGTTATCCTTAGACAAACCAAAATTTGAAAAGTAAATGAATTCATTTTAATAATGTTACATTTTGAAATTCTCAAATCCATTCGCAAAGTACGTGACACCATAGTTAGTAGAGGGGACTAACTATGGTGACACATTGTGTTAGTTACGGTGTCAAGCACAGCAAGTGTGAAACAAATGGTCAATAAGTTTGTTCCCTTTCGTTACATATTTGTAATTTGAAAACTTGCACTGCTTTATTTCCAAAATCCAGAAATCTATGTACTTCTATGAAACTGGCATGCAAAGATCTTGGTGCAGATCAAACAGTTTATCTACTCGAGGGAGGTTTCGGTTTCCACAATAAACCAGTTCCCACACTAACTATAAATTTTTCTTGATTTTTTTGTGGTACTGTACTTTAGGCGCCATTTCCAGCTGTTTTGTGAGACTGCGTTCTTTGTTATGCTATTTAGCTTACTTGCTTGGTGAGTGATTTCTAAATGCAAATGTCAAAGGATGACAGCAAAGATCAACCAAAAGAATCGTAATTTAGGGTCATCGTCATGGACACTGTTATCTGCACATTATTGTACTGCCATAGGGCCTTTTCGAAATTACCACCCAACAAATAAAAAAAATCACAATGTTTAACCAGAGGTTTCTTGTCATTTTTTTACGGCAGTAACATGTACTATCAGCTGGTAAGGTACCGTAAACTTCCGAAAGAAAAGACCCGCCGAAATTAAGTAACATCAAAAAAATGTGGCCGCTAATAGATCCCGAAAGAAGCGACCCCTCGAAACAACCGAGCCCTTCAAAAGTGGCGAGCCCACTTCCACCCCAAGCCTCCCCACCCCCTCCAAAAATAGTCAGACCAAGGTTTTTATTCCCAATCAATAGTCAGGTAAACGTTACGTACGGTAACTTGCTTTAAGGCACTCTACAACAAGGGAAGGTATCGCTTACATTGCGAAGCGTTGTGAAATGCCAATTCGTGTTTCATCAGTTCGGGTTGCGCCGTGTAAAGACGACGAACCCGTAACAAGAACGTACTAACATAAACTCTTCTTTAAATTAAAATTGAAAGCTTTGCATCCTTCCCAAACGAACGTCAAAGGTGGAGTCAAAAGTTAAGATCACATTTGCCCTCTCCTTTGTCAAGTATCAAATGTATAGGCAAAGCCATGACATATTTGGCAAACAATTGACGCGCGTCAAAATTTGGATCAAAGCTATGATCATGTTTGACCTCGACTTTGACGAAGATATACACTAAATCTAATTTTTCGTGCCGTGCCAATTCCTGCCCCCTCAATTCTAGCCTGCGAACAGGCTCCCGATGAGCCCGAACGAAGCTCTGTCCCCGCCCTGATCGCTTTGCTCTCCGAATTCTTCTGTTTCGCGCTCGCCGAAATTTGTTTCGTCCTCGCCGGGAGCCTGTTCGCAGGCTACCTCAATTCCGACCCTGAGACCCTTTCTTCACGCTCACAGAGTGAATCCTTGCTGTACTGTGATTCAAGGGCTTATGTCCGAGGGATTGGGAAAATGAACATGTCGGATTTACTTCGGTTGTTAGAAAGTACGGTCAAATTGAAGCTCTCCCAGGCGACCACCTCAGAATTCAAAAGTGCTCCTAACTACAGCTGGCTGGTCACTCTCGTAAGCCACTGGTCCCTTACCAGGAAACTTTTGGCATTAAACGTTCACCTTCAGTTTTAGGGCAACGCTGCAGTCGTAAATCATCTTTACTTGTAACTAGAGGTCTATCAACGAACATTATCTGCCACTGAATTGTTAGGTGATCGCTCACGAGAGCTTAGAAGCAAAGGAATAAACCAGTTGGATGTACTTCCCGCGCCAGACAAAGTGCAAGTATTATATGACTTGACACGGGTACACACCTATAGCTTTAGTCCCAAGGCCTGGGGTTTTTCAGGTTGGAAAAGCAGAGAGTCACCTTTTCACAGTTAACTCTTTCATTTGCATTACATCAAAGTTCAACCTGGATGCCGGGCAACTTCGGAAAGAAAGTACAAAATTATTAGTCGGACTTGCCTCAGATCCAAAAATTTATTAAAAACTGGATCATTGAATGATGAATTCGAGAGGTTTCAGTGGCTTAGCCATCATGGGTCATGAGCCATTATACCTTGCTCTACAAATATGGTAATTAAGCGAGCGCGTGATTTTTTGGGACGTTTTCATTTATATTTTAGTTCCGTTTTCTATATTTTTCGTGGGTGTTTTTAATAAACAATTATTCCTTCGCGCTTATTGGAAATGAGATGATTATAGCTAACTTGGCGCGATACGCCTCATTGGCTATCGATCTACCATCCCATATCCAACGCGCGCTCGTGGAAAATGAGGAATGCGGAGTGTGGAGTGTGGAAAATGAGGAGTATGGAAAATGAGGTGTGTGGAAAATGAGGGGTGGAAAGTACGGAGAGTGACAAATGCGGAAAATGAGGAAAGAAACCTTAACATGAGACTTGAAAAGACTTAATAACTAAGTTTCCGTGGTCTACGCGCAATCTTTTGAACCTGCTCGCGGATAGTTGAGTAGCGAATTCTTGCTGTACTGTGATTCAAGGGCTTATTTCCGAAGGATTAGGGAAATGGACATGTCGGATTTACTTCGATGGTTAGAACGTACCGTCGAATAAAAGTTCTCGTAGGTGACCACCTCGGAATTCAAAAAAGTGCTATTATTACTGAACTAGAGCTGGTCACTCTCGTAAGCCACTCTGGTCGCTTACCAAGAACTTTAGACATTAAACGTTCTTCGAAACTACAGTTTCAGGGTAGTAATGCAGTCGTAAATTAACTTTAATTAGAGGTCTATCAACGAACATTAGCTGTCATTGAATTGTTGAGTGATCGTTCACGAGGGCTTAAAAGCAAAGGAATATAGTTGGCTGTACTTTATACGCCAGCCCAAGTGCAGGTCTAATTTGATTACACATACG